GTGAAGTGGAATCGGGAGCAGCCTCCAAAGGCGGGATGAACGGAGGCAAGAAGGCTGGAATTGCATTTGGAGTGATTGCCGCAGTGTGTTTCGTCGGAATTGGAGGAATCGTGTACAAGAAGCGCCAAAACAACATTCGCCGATCTCAGTACGGGGACGCCGCTAGGTCTTCCTTCCTATGAGGATCAAAATGGAGACGGTACGGAATTCTCTGCGTTAGAGAGTAGTCTTTTCTAGTAATTAATTAGCATTATTATTTTTATTTTTATTACGTAGCTCGGTAAACTCATTGATCAGGAGATTTTCTAGTCAATTTGTTTATTGGCTAATTTTGAGTAGCAGTGTGTGATTATTTTTCCTTAAGATATAGTTCTTAGCATCTTGCTTATTCAGTCGGCTATGCCGCTTTCTTTGTCATTCCGTTTTGTTTCAAAATTTCTTTCTCATACTATATATATAAAAATATATCTTCTGCCTCCCTCATTTATCGCTTGCTTAATTGCTCAGAAGATTTTAGTGTTTACTTAACTTACCAATGAGGATTCAATTTTCTCGATCTCCAATAGTTTATGTTTTATTTTTAATTAAGAAACAATCAATTGTCCTTTTCATTCCATATCTAGGTTTAAAAATTTGTTCCTATCTCACATACGGAAATTTGATTTAATATGCAAATTACAAACTTCTAACATACTTCTATTGTAGATTAAGAAACATGAATTACACTGCATGAAAGCGAAATCAAATCATAAAACTGAAACCTTTTAAAATTATAGCGACAATATTGAAACAAACATGGTATAGTTTAACCAAGAAAAAAGATCACGAGAAAGCTTCATGTGCATATAGGATGCATTTTAGGAGCTGCTATGGACTAGATTAACTCTCTGGTTTCTTCTTCTCTGTGTTCTTTTTATATCTACAATCTTTTGTCAAGTTGACAACTTCCTAACCACATCACAAATTCTATACAAGGAAGCTATGGTTCAGAGAAGTCGCAACCTAAACTCATTGTACACGCAACAATATACACTCCCTGCATCAAAAAATCATGTATCCCGTAGGCCAACTCCGTTTCGACTTAATTTCTGCTTGATGTTTCTGAGTTTCCGCCAACTGTAGGATGCTGGCGGGGAATGGCATTGTGTAGTGAACTTATAGCTATGAATGGTCGTATTGGTTGCGCTATTCTCTGAGGGTCAAGGCGCTGTTGTGTTGAAGGTAGCCCCCATCGTCTTCTCCATCTTAAAAATTCAACGGTAATTGAACTTCCGCTCATGACAATGCCAAACCCAGTTAATGTAGCCAGTACAATGGCCAGAACTGCTTGGACACCAACCTGTAAACCATTCTAAAGATCAATCTCCAACATCAAAATAAGTCTGCTACTGGGCTTATTTGTACAAGGCATCCTATTGTTAATTCAGCAGCAAAATGAAGATATATTAGGTTTTAGTTTTCAGATAATGCCATTCGATAAATGATCCAAAAGAATACGAGCTGTGGATTGTAAAACTCAATCCCTGCTAACAAATGTCCACTATGGATAATATCAATAGGAAAAAAAAAGATAGATTTATCTCTTACCACGGAGTAAAATATGTGCGAGAAGAGAACCACCATGGCAAATTGTACTGTTGCATACACCCATATGAATCTTCTCTTCACTGCAAACGAAATTTTTTGTTCAGGGGTACTGAAGTAAACTAACTGTCTATAATAGCAACAAACTGTCACAGAAGAATCCCAAAGTCTACCAAATCAAGACAGTTTCAGCCAAGTCAGGATTGACTGAACTCTATGTTTCAGGCTTATTGAATATTAGTGCAATGTGATAGATTAGCAAATATGAGTTGAATCCTCATTAGTTATTCTATTTTATCACAAACAATTGATTATGTTATAGCTCTAGTCAGATTTGCATGCTTGATATTTTCTAACTGATCTGGCTAACCTACCCATGGTTGAGGAGGTCATTGATGAGAGTAGACCCAAAACGCAAGAAAATGGAAGGGATATGGCTATTGCACTGGTACCCATTTTTGCAACCTGCATCTGAACATATTACAGATGATGTGACCAATGATAGATTTAAACTCAAAAGTTCCATAGTTGCTAGTCTTACCAGGAGTTGCTCGAGGAAGCAAAAGTAGGCAAGTATGCTAACAATTACAAGCACTGGAAACTCCTGCCAAACCCTGGATATAATATTCATATAGAATAAGCAATTACTATGACATGACAATATGTAAGATGGAGAGATGAAGACAGTCGAAGTTTAGTTCCGATTAAGTAACTCGGGGTGCTAATTCATCCGTTAAATCTACTTGAATATAAAGAAAGAAAGATCAACTAAATGGAAAACTTCAAAATCTCCCACAACAGATAGTTGCTGACCTATACCCATTGACATTGTCCTGCTGAGTCCTAGCTGCCCCTAATATTTGAGTTCGAATGCTCTGGACCTTTAGCAAGGTTACGGGAAGATTTTGAACCTCTTTCTTGCAAACGTCACACGTTTTATTACCCTTGATACTAAACCATTTTACGGCACATTCTTGGTGAGCCAGAGCAAGTTCACCTTTGCAGCTACATTCCATCTTCAGAGTCTCGCCTCCTTCGCACAGTTCAACCATGCAAATTCTACAAACAGCATCTGCTTCAGAGATGTCTTCGCCATTGACATCATGATTCTCTGGACCATGAGATTAAGATGAGACTGATATCGCTCACTCATCTAAGAAAACGAACTTTCGTTTCATGATTGGATGTAAAAGAGTTAGTTACCATAAAATGTCGACAGAACAAGAGAATGGATATGCTTCTTGGTGCCAGGAGGCATCAGCAAGATTGTTGGATGGGATGAAAGAATGAAGTTTGGGCGTTTTACCTATTTCTGCTGTTGTAGAAGTATTCAATGTCACATCTCCTGCCTTTGGTCGGGGGGTTGAAGGAATCACACGAAAAAACGAATCTGTCCTCCTTATGCTTCTACCCTTGTTAATCACTGGAAGCGAGAGGGAGCGAGATATTCGTTTCTGAGCTCCTCTTCTCTGCACAATAAAATTTCAACCTATATTAGGTGATGGATGCCAAGATAATCCAACTAGGTCAGCTTCACCAATCACCACTATATAAAACTCAAAGCAGGCGCTTACTACTGAGTCCTGTTCACTCCCCTTGCTTCCATCATGTGCAGATTCTGGATTTGAATGAGCTATAGGAGTCACAGGTAGCGACGAGGCTTGCTTCGACCGAGGTGTGAAGATTGTGGCCATCGACAAGGGCTTTACGGCTTGAGCTTGAGGCTTCTCATGTGCCCCTGAAGAAGAAGCCTCAGAAACAAGGCCGGACACCACCTCAGCATCGGACGAACTTCGGTAAATGAAGCTAAGCTTTGGAAACAGAGTTTTGATGGATGATTTGGGTCTGGATGAAGATCCAGTAGCTGCAGCATCGGAAGAGGTAGGTGTGAACACAAAATTCACTTTCCTGGGTGTAGGAGTAGGACTGGATGTTGGAGGCATTCTTATAGCAACAAAATCAGGTGTCCTGGAGGGTATCTCAAGAACAAGATTTGGTCTCTTCCAATGGTTAAGATGAGAGGTTCCGGCCGAGTCCCCGGCCTCTGCCTGAGGCTGAGATCCATCCACAGACCATTCAATAACTTTGAAGAAGATTGAAAGCAGAACATACAATAGAAAGTAGAGAAAGTACCTTTTGGAGACGATCAGTAAGTGTTCCATCAGCGGAATCAATATGCTCTGTTCCCATAAATCCAACAAAAACCAAAAAATCTGATCCCTGCAATCAACAGAAGACGAACATGGAAGAAGAAGAAGAAGAAGAAGAAGAAGAGAAAGTGGAGAGAAAATAAGGGAAGGGAATCGAAAGGATGGTGGCAATCGTGGCCTACTGCCACTTCCACTGCGCGGGCTTCCTATTTTTTGTTACAGAATCCGATTCTCTCTGATTTTCTTTCTCAATTCCCACCGGGAACCCAACATTACTACTGTGGAAACTCCACTCAGCTTAATATTTAGTTAGTTAAAAGGGAGGCAATTACTTAATTCCTCCTTCAAATTTCTTAAAAATTAGTAAAAGTTTTCAACTTTTCTTCTTTTAGATTACCTAATTCGTTATCATACAAGTCTATCATCAGTTATACAAATATTAGAACCTATAAGATGGGCATGTGAATTAGTTCAATCTAGAGATAGTTTGTGTAAATTGAGTCGAACTTTTGGTTAGTGGTTTAGAATGAATAAGACAAGGGAAAAGCGAACGAATCTTTTTTGAGTTGAGATTTGAAAGTGAGAGTGAGACATTATTATTAATAAGATCAACTGGAAATATTTGTGCACCCAAAACGCAGCCACGGTTTCCAAAAGTTGATGATTGGGTTGACTTCTGTCCAATCAAACTCATTTACCATGCCTTCTCTTTTTCTTTTTTCTTCTTTCCTCTCTCTCTTCCTTTCCTTTTTCAATTGTTTTTTCCTTTCAAACGTCATTACAAATTTATAAGTAAAATTTGCATACTCTGAAACTATTATTTGCACATTCTCTCTCCAGTTAAAAAAAAATCATTTACCTCTCCAAAGAAGAACATGTATATTTTAATTTTTTTTACTACAATACATGAAAGTAGAGATTCTGACTCAAAATCTTTTAGTCGAAGATAACTACCCTAACCAGTTGGGTTATATTCAGGTTTGACAAAAAATATATATTCTCTATTAGATAGGAACATCTTAGCTATTTTTTATATCTAGGTACCGGTAATTTTATGGGCAAAATATATTTTTAGTCTATTTGATTTATGAAATTTTAAAATAGACACTTTAATATCTAGTTTTGAAGAGAAAAAAAAAAAAGAAAAAGAAAAGAGGGGATGCAAAATATGGAAAAAAAATGAAAGAAAATGTTATATAACATGAAAATATATAAATATAATAAATATTGCTACACCGTTCAACTCAACAATGTTACTTTATTTTTTTATTAGTCAATTAATGATCAACTTAAATAAAGCAACCAACTTGATAATAATTCAATTGGTTAAAGCACTCATCTTCAATTAGAAGATTGTGAGTTCGAATTTTCATTCTCATATATTATATTAAAAAAACAACAAAAATCTTAAATAAATGATGGTTTAGAACTATTTTCTAAATTTATAGGAAAAGAAATTAAGTTATTCATACATGCGTGGTACAGTAAACATAGTTTTATAAATGCATTGATTCTGCCACATGCAAATTTTTAAGACATTTATTATTAAATGAAGTAATAACGGGAAGTAGATGTAATGTAACATATCTTGATCTCTTACCAATTTGGTTTTATTCGGGGACAAAAAAACGAAAGAAAACAACTCCAAAAACAAAATAAATAAAAGAAGAAAGAAGAGAGAGCACCTTTTTACGAATAAATTCTCAAGAAAAAACTCTCTAATTACCATTATTTTATTGCAAAACTTATTTAGTTTTGAATATCAGAATATCTGGTAGGTACAAGAATCAACTTTAGTTTTTTTTCAACCTTATCCATTTGGTTAGCTAACATCTATCTCTTAAATGAGTACTCTTAAACAATATTCGCTTTATGCTCAAAATATTAAATTTTCGACATAAGACATTTTCATTATATTGCAAAATATATAACTAATATTAATAATAAAAATTTCTAACTTATTTCAAAATAGTGAAATAATTTCTTTTTATTTCTATGACTCTCCCATGAACAACTTTTGACACCCTATTAACATTGATTTTTTTATAAAATTGAGGCCTCAACATTTCCATCGATATAAAATTTAAAAACCTTGATACCCCTAAAAAATATTAACATGCAGATTCATAGAATAAAATAAAAACGCAAACTAGGTCATCAGAAGGAAGAAAATATACTCGATAAACTAAAAAAAAAAAAAAGTTAGGTTAATATAGGTTCAGGTAGATGACTAATGCAAGCAACACTTTATGGAACCGAAAGATCCAATGACAGTGGGCAAGTTCCCGCAATGATAAATGAAATTAACTGGAATAATCAATTGTCAATATCCTAAGAGCATATATGTCCCAAAACTTACCTAATTCTTCTCCATAATTGATCGGAAGATATCCATCTTAATCCTCTAAATATTAGTAGTGTAGCTCATTCAATGCAATGCCACTCCCCAAGTACCCTGCAAAACTCTTTGGAGATGGCAGTATATTTGTTCATCTACCTCTACCTCTCCAGCAGCATCACCATCTCACAGTGCGAAGTATGAGGGAAAAGATCTACCGCCATGGCTTTCACAGGCCGAAAAGGTTCTGACATCGGCATCGACTTGACCCTATGCCGAGCAAGACCAGCACTGCCCATATTTCTCCACCCTCGGTTGTTCTTGTTTCCTTTCTCAGTTTTTTCAGATGATGGTGTACACAGCTCTATGGCATTAGCCACCAAACTTTCAGGGTTGCATGAAATGTAACTGCACCAAGTTATAAATATAAAAAGAAAGAAAATATATAGAATGAAATGAATTTTGCACGGAAGGTTTGGTATTAGAACTAACACTAGTCTCTTTAGATGCGTGTGAGTTCTCAGGACCTTGGTCACCTGCATTATTGCAAACATTGCAACAGTCAGCAATTTGATGGAACAGAAATCTGGAGTTTCAACAGCTCAAGTACCTTGTAGGGTATGACTCAAAGTCCAAATTGCAGTATAACATTGAACAAAGGCTAATGCTAACATGCCAAGGAACAACCGAAAGATGGAATTGAAAAAATGTAGGAAGAAACTCAAAGTATGTTTTAAAAAGAATACTAACGATGGGATGAAGTCCACCACGAGGAGGATCTACAATGGCAACAACATTTTTGAACTGCTGCATCAAATTAGTCCGGCTTTCTGCTTTGCAACAGTTGAGTTGGCCCCCATTTTCTTGGCTAGAAACCTCTGAAGTCTCAAGTGTATTTGCATCATTTTCGGGCACATGGCCTACTACAGGATCTTGTTCTATGGCATCCATCAAGGTATTTGTTTCCCCAGCAGCAGTAACTTCATCACTTTTTTCCGAGGCACTTGCAGTTTCCTCACTTTTTTGGGAGGCACCTGAAATTTCCTCGACTTTCCCGGAAGCACATGGAATTTCCTCACCTTTCTCGGAGGCACCTAACATTTCATCACTTTTCTTGGAGGCACCCGGAATTTCCTCGCTTTTCTCAGAGGCAGTTGAAATTCCATCACTTCCATTGGTGGCGCTTAAAATTTCCCCTTCTTTCTTGGTCACATTTAGGTACTCTTTTAATAAAGATCCCATCACATCCTCTGCCTGTTCCCCCATTGACAAAATGAAGAAAATGAATAAAAAGTAACATCTATAATTAGATGCAGAAGTACTTGGAGTTGTGATTCCTCTACAAAGTCTGACTTGGTACAGTCGCATCATTACCAAGTTCAGTTTTTGAGGTTGTGTTACCTTTTTTTCAGCGTCAATGGAAACGACATGAAATCAAGCTAGAAATGCGAACTATAAATCTCACCTTTGCACAAATAAATTTACAGTTATTTATGCCATTTATTTCAGCATTCCTCTGAGCATCAGATACTGCAGAAGCATTCATTTCAATACCAATAACCTGAAATATAATCAGAGCGCAAAAAAGATCTACAAATTAAGAAAGTTACTGAGAGTAAAAATGAATTACATGGGAAACGGCTTTTTGAATATTACCATACCAACACGATGTGCTAAAGTCAGCCCAATTGTTCCAGTTCCACAGCAAATATCAAATAGCAAGGTGTCAGGGCCCAACCCAGCCCAATCCCCAGCAAGTGAATACAGCTTCTCAGCAGCAAGTGTATTCACCTAAGGCCAAAACTCCAATTATTACTAGCACTAACAAAATACAAATACTATAGTCTGTTTTCTCTGGAAGATTAATGGTCATACCTGGAAAAACGCAGTTGGAGATATGCAGAACTTAAGATTGCTAATGTAATCGTGGATTCTAGGTTCTACAACATCATTAGTGGCATCTGGTTCAGTGCCATGGACTTTTGGAATTGGTAGGGGCTGTAGTGGAGTATCAGCAGGTGCTGCATTTGATATTCCTTGGTGGTGCTGCAAAGAAAAATAAAATTGGAAATTTAAGAAAACAGAAAACATAAAAGAAGTGACTGAGTTTAAGATTTATGTGAGAACGAGTAACTCCAGAAAGAAATTCATGCCTGAATGACTAAAGCAGTTAGGGGCAACGGTGGAGAATTTGCAACAGCTCCTTCAGCAAAATCTTGAGCAAGTCTCTTGAATTCACTGGCCAGTAGTTCACACTCAACACCTACAGAGCAAACCTACACAGGGAAGGACAACAAATTTAAATGACCAAAAAACGCTAAAAAGATAATAGCATGATATTTCAACAACTAATACACGAGTATTCCCATTGGATTGCTCAAATTATATAGGACAGCAAAAATACTGTCTTTCATCTTTTTTCTTTCTCATTTTACTGGCTAACTGAGGGCAGAGGCAAAAACTTTATAATACAATTTATCAGATCAAACATTTACCTGAACGATGATCATGACCTCACTGATGTTTCCATCCGAATTATCAGAATCAATTAACTTCCCTGGAGTCCGTCCTTCTCGAACCTTCCATGGTTTACAGAATAGAATTGTCAACAGGAAATAGACAGGACGGTTATCAGCTACAGAAATTATATTTCTTAAATCTTTTAGACCACCTAAAGTCAACCTTACCGTCAATTGACGCCAAAACCCAACATTCTTAAATCTATTCCAAATTGGCAAGCTTGAGAGTTGCAGAAACTCCTGGAAAATTGATGCATATTTGCAAGAAATTCTAGAAACATTGGGACAATTTTCAGGTTCTTCAACAGCTGTAACACCTTCCCTGCACATTTCTTAATCCGTCATAAATCATTCAATGCAAAAATAAATAAATATATATAGGTTTTCAAATAAAAATTAATGTTGAATTGACCTGAAATTTCCCAACATAAACCCCACAGTTGGCTTGCCCTCCAAAGAGTATCCAACTGAAAATTCACATTTGTTACGATATCCATTTATAACTGGTGATTCAAGAATACCCTCCAAATTGCATGGAAGACCACCTTGAAGGTACAAAATGACCAGGATCAATCTACGGTAAACTCAAATTGAGGGAGAATCAGGTAGGAAAAAATTCAGACACTTCATATACTATCACAGAATCACAAATATATTACTAAACAATATATATAAATAGGAGAGATACCCGTTTATCAAAGACCTTATATAAAGTATATACCTATATCCCTTGCTTTTAGAATCCATTCAGGAAGAGAAACGCCGTTTGGACAGGCTTTACGTGCATTCCTAGTCTGCCAGTATAAATTTAACGGTTAAAACTATATTTGATAAAGAATTGATTATAAGATGTAGAAGTCAATGATTTGATGCAAATTGCAAAGGAAGAGAGCTCTTACAAGTTTTTTGAGAAGCTGCGACAATGAGTTCTTTTTGTGATCCAACTGATCACTGTATGACATGTGAGCAAGAGGAGCCACCACGTCACGGGCACTTTTTCCCTTCGAAACCGAATCATTAGGAGTAGAATTCCCATCATTATTAGTAGCATCTTCAGCATCATTTGATGACAAAGGGACAGTCATCGAAGATTCAGATGTTTTCTGACGATCCATCTTAGATCTAGTTGTCTTTTCAAATGATCTGGGAATCACATCTGCAACCTTCAAGTTCTTTTTGCCAATGGTTTTTCCTTCTATCTCCTATTGCATCCAAAATTTGATGAATCATCCAAAACAAGTTTAAATTCATGAATCAACGAAGTTAAGTTTGGAACTAGAGATACCTCAACGGCACTTTTCAACTGTTCTGTACTTTCAAAACTAACAAAACCTACAGTCATGCCTTTCTTCTTCTTTGCAGATTTAAAAATTATACCCTGCAAAATGAAGACTACGTCATCCCACAGGGTAAAACATCGCTTCAGTGTCAGGGGACAGTGAGATAAAGATTTTTCATGAGAAGGACAGCCTTCCATAATCCACAAGGAAAAATGAGCAAGAGAATTGCAGTCCAGAAAGCTCTTGAAATGAACAATAAATTTCATACACTATTCAGGTCCAAACATATCTTCTCGAAATCATAAGCTTGAGATCTTAGTACTTAAAACCAAGGATGAACGAACAAAGATACTGCCATTTTATTTGTATCTGAAAGTCAACAGTACCATTTCCATTTTAACCAATTCAGGAAATGTAATATGAAAAACCTAGAAAGTGCTAATTAACTTCACAGAAGGGAAAGGGGGAACACCATTCTAAGAAGTAAGAAGCTTTTTAAGACAAGCAGTTTTTGGAGTTACGGGGAAATGTAATATGAAAAACCTAGAAAAGAGTTTTTGGACTCATCGTCACTGTAAATCAATACTTCTACATCGTAAACAGAGGAATTCAGATAATTCTACTTACCTGCTCATTCAAGTAGTTCCTCAGGTTGTCGGAATTCCATTTTCTCGGCAAATGAACTAAGCATTTGCTAAGTCCATTCTCCCTTCCGTCATTACCGTTATCGTCGTCATCGTCTACCACGGCCTCCGTCATCATAACCTCCTCTTCCTTAACTTCCTCCTCCACTTTCATCACCTTCTTAGCCCGCTCCGATGTGGGATCCCACGAGTTATCAGGGCGTGGCCTGAGCTCCTCCTCGCCATGAGCATAGCGGCACGTACTTCCATGGCTACACGACCCCGACTCACGCCTAAAGTACGAGCATAGACYGGTTTTCCAAAAAGGATTGAGAGACGGATCGGGATTTGGATTAGCGCCATCAGAATCTGGCTCCATTATCTTCCGCTTCTCCCCCGCAACAGTAGTTTCCGTGGATTGACAATCAGATTGCTCCGGTCGAGAATCCGACGGTAGCGCAATAGAATCGTTGGCGTCCGTAGGTGCATGAAGCTGATCGTCGGAAGTGTTTGGGGCTTCAGTTACAAGGGTTTCTTCAATAGAAGAGGCCGCCATTGAAGTATCTCCAGTTCCTTAACTCGTTAAGTTGGTGAAGTTTGCAGTGAAAGAAGAGTTGGGTGTGGCGCGCGTATTTCAGGGCTATTTGTTCATTTTGTTCACTAGGGCAGTTTCCAATGATAACCTGATTGATGGAGCGTGGATCCAATTATTCCGACGTGACGTTCCCATTTTGGGGACTCATCGAATTTTTCGTAGCACGTCCAACATTATCACGAAGAGTGATCAAAATTTTATATAATTCAATTTCTTACATGGTCTGTTTTCTTTTTGTTATATAAGTTGGAATTATTTTCACAAAATTGTTGAAGAAAGCCTAAACCATAAGTAAAAGATAGCTAAAATAATCAACATAAACCAAAATCTCCCTCACAATCCCAAGCAACTAAGTTTTATCACATACAATACACCTTCAAATGCCTCTTCCTGAACTGTTACTATTGGTTGATTAGAAGCACTGCTCTGTTATTTGGCAAGGCTAAGGCAGAAGCAATCGCATTTGTTTTTGTGAGAGTTGTCTGTAAAATGATGACAAATGCAATAGAAAGTAGCTGAATTCTGAAATAACACTAACAGTGCTCTCAGCTAATACAATTATTTGGCAACGACTTTTACATAAATTGTAAATTGATAACTTACAAGAAAGATGTAACACAAAAATTACACACAAAGGGGGGAGAGGGAGGGGGATTTTACCAATTAACTTGACAAATCAGAAAGCAGCAAAACGGGGATAAGGTAAGCAATGTTGAGTAAAGCCAAATCCAGGAAGAGAGTGAAACTATGTAAATAAATTATTAGCTACAGTTATGAGAACAACACTAAGAAGAAAAGATCCCTTTGTAGAAACCAAAAACTAGCCTCCGTCAAATCAGTTCTAAGAATGATCCTTCAGCAGCCCATAACAGCACAGTTGTAGACAAAAACCCCAACATGTTCCTTTACTCCAACTATCTTCCAATCCAAAGTTCCATTATTGACTCCTGACTTTGGACACACAGAGCTGAGCACAATAGATTCGCCTTCGGGGCCTCTCTGTCCACCCACAACCAGAAGTTCTTCCCCACAAGCCTTGAAAGCAAGCCCCCATCCATTTGAAGAATCTGCCCTCACTGGAAGTCTCCCCAACACATTCCATGTGTTCTCCACTTTGTCATATTTCATAACCATGTTCGTTAAATGCTCCACCGCATATAGTTCATTGTCCACAACTGCAACTAGAGGGGGAGCATGAGCACCTTGGTTCACGTACGGATACATGCCTTCTATTTTTCTCCATTTTCTCTTCTTCAAATCATACTCCTCCCCACATGTTAATGACACAGTGGGACTAGACATCCCACCAATCACGTAGAATTTGTCGTTCATAAAGAACCCAGAACACGACCGACGTGGCACGTGCATGTCGGGCAACTTTTCCCACTGACCCTTTGAAGAGTCGTATAATTCGGCCGATTTCAGAACGGTTCCCTTTTTATCACTCCCACCTGCAACAATGGCTATCGAACCAAGGCTGCCAGACCCAAACAAACAACGAGGCTGGTTCATTCCTCCACATTTCACCCAATGATGAGGAAAAAATGCATATTTCCATATGGCAAAATCATAAAACTCGCGACCAAAAACTAGTAACTCGCTGCCCACTGCTAAGGACTCCTTATCAGCATGGTTGAAACACTCGTCACAAGGCATCTTAGGCAATGCCATCCATTTATTTCTACCAGGATCAAATGCCTCCCACTCCTTTAGATCACAAACCAGATACACCCAATGCTCGACAATCCTCATCTCCTTCCTCAACTCAGTCAAGGTACCACTTCTAATCAACTTGTTAAACCTTGAGTTAACACATGATAGAGAAGCATAATCTGACCTTCGAATGCAAGCAAAGCAATTCATCGCCACATCATCATTAAGACCTGGGAGAAGTGAATCGTTTAATATGCGCCGTCGCTGCTGCGAACCATCAATCGTTCTTTCTGTCAAATCTATGTTCGAAAGATAACTTACTTCTTCATCCTCCATCTCCTCCAGTACGGTATTACAACAAACTTTGTTTGTGTGTCAGCAAAAATTGATATAATTTAAAACAAAAGAATCAACAGGCTATACCAACAAACACCACCAATCTCAAAATGCAATATCCTGGCGGTCTCTGATTATCTTCCCAATACCCAGGAAACAAATTCCGATCCTTGAAAGCAGCAATCAGTACGCACTTGTTTCCTCTTTCCATTAATTTATTGAAACAAAGTGTGAATATGTGTAGCATATATACTCAGAATATTCCATTTATACGATATTCGTGATATTACGAGCACGAAGTTATACCAATTAGAGAAGCTCTCGCAGCCCTATTCAAACAGATTGAGAAAACGAATACACTAACCCTCAGAAACCCGGTAGAAATTAAATTACCAAGAACCGAATTTCTTTCCAGCCGCCAAATTGAAACGATCTGGAATCTTTCTAATTAGCGAGAAATCCAAAGCGAGGGTGTAAACAATTTCTACAAAAGAAGAACAAATAACAATCATAAAAGAGATCCTCGGAGCCTAGTGCGTGGAAATGGATCGAATCAAAACAAAGACGGATACATGAAATTAATTGAGCAGTTCAGTAAGAGAGAATTCGAAAAGGAAAAAGGGAAAAACCCCGCACCTGAAATTGGGGAAAGTAAGACGGATCTATCAGTTGGGTGCCCGATAAACGCGGTTGCCTGAAATAGATTCCGACGAACATGTCGGAGGAAAAGATGAGGGAGAAGAAAGAAGAAAGAAGAAAGAAGAAGAGAGGATGGTGGGAAGAAGCAGAGTGGAGTCAGCCTTTGGCGAACAAAACAGCGATACCAGATCAAGTGGTGGGGCGGGGCGGGCGGCCCTGTAATTGTAAACAACTGCAAAAATAAATAAATATGGTAAATTCTTCCACACATCACCGTACTTCTGGGTATTTGTACTTCCGCCCCTCTCTCTCTCTCTCTCTCTATTTAGAATTTAAGTTTTTTTCCCCCTTTTATTTTAGTCTCTAGTTTAAATTTGATTTTTATAATTTCATCTCAATCCTTGTAATTTGATCAAATCTCTTAAAATGCTTTTGATCCTTTATTTTTCTCTTTACTGTTAAATAGTACTTTCAATATTAAGTAACGTTGTAGATACTTTAATAGACTTCAATTGTAAGAACTGAATAGAAACTTTAAATATATTGACCAAACTAAAATTAATGGTTAATTAATATTAACTAAATAATTGTGGATATTAAAATTGTTATTAGGCTCCGAAATTGGAGAAGGGATGGGAAATCAGGAATTAGTATTTAGTAGATGCATTTAATTGGATTATTTGATATATCCATAAATAAAATATTTCAAACAAATGTAGATAAAGGCAAGTGAGACCACCTAACAAATAAAAACTCCGTGTGCAATTTGAGTTGCTTCCTTTGAATTGATGTCTCAAAAATCAAAACTGTATCTGAAAAGGTATTTATTCCACAGCCACCATTTTTTACTCAAAAGATTTTCGAACGAATTCAATATTGAAACAAATTCCGTGCATTAAGAAAACGATATTATATTTCAGAAAATAGGGAATAATTTTATAATAATCATTTCGAAAGGGTACTTCAGTAATGAGAAAAAGAAAAAAAAAATAGTACAGTGGGGGGCTAACCCTAACCCCATGATTGACAAGTGGTCAGTATATTAATTTGTAGAGTTTTAATGCAAAAAGGTATGAAAGAATCTTTAAATAAGTACAAGGGTCAGTTTCTCAGTTCTCAATTGTAATCGTACTTGTTTCTCTTTTGGAAAAAAAAAAAAAAGAAATTTCAGGGTAAATAATCAAMATTTATTATTATTTTATAAATTTTGGAGACTTGGCTACGATCCCATCATATGCGTTGGATTGGGCCCCTTCATAATTATACTGGGGCTCAAAATTGGGCCTCACTGCTCATAGGGAAATGTTTCTACTGCTCACTAATATAATATCTCAGCAATATTATATTTATATTATATGCTCTATCATAACTTTTATGTCTTCTGAATTTTAGCCTTTCAAAAAGCTGGAGAAAATAAAAGATCACCTCTTTCGGTCGCCAGTGCCGGTAAGTTGTAACGACACTCTAGCTGTTTTTTAAATAAAAAATAAATGTTACGTGTAATGCTTCTTATTATTTAAAAATATATCAGATACGAATGGCATTTTTCCTCTGCCACTTGTCAAATCCTATCAAAATACATTGTTTAAATTTGATAAAAAATAAAAATAAAAGAACACCTAAGTACAAGAATCAAGGTGCAACTTAATCAAACTGGTGGTGGAAAAATCTTTAAAAGAACAACAATCTTTGATGTCTTTAGAACCCCATGCTTTCTCCGGCGATATAAATTGCACTCCATGTTTATCCTCAAGTAAACCAAAAAAGGATGAAGACTATAAAATGGTCAAAAACTATCAAGGGGAGAGAGAGAGAGAGAGAAGAGCTAACCCATCTAGCTTTTAAATTTACATAAACAGTTTCAGGCTACATAGACGAATTATGAGAAGCCACGTCGAGATCATCGTATTTACTCCCATTTTCTTCTCGTTGCAAGTCTGATTGTTCTTCCCCGACTAAAGTCTTGCGGCGCTTGCACCAGCACAAATATTGTGGGATTGGACCTTGCACTCCGATCAACCAGCTATGATTTGCAATGGCTTCCAGTGTCATCCTCTGGCTCGGGTCTGTAAGAAAAAGAATATGAAAATAATCAAGGGGAGCGGGTTTTTCCAGAAATTAAACTCTCCTTAGAATGCGTAACATTGTGGGACCAAAAATATTGGAGATGAAAGACAGTACCTTTACATAGAATCCCTTCCAACAAATTTCTCAACTGGAGATTCATATCATCCGGTAGCACTAATGGATTATTGACAATCTGGAGAAGAAAATATTGTCCATTTCACATCAGAATGCATTTATTGAAGCAATAATAGCACAAGTGAACATTTTCCGTACTTTATCGTAGGTATCTTGCAGTGTCTCTCCAAGAAATGGATATTGACCCAGTATCATACAGTACAAGGTCACCCCAACTGCCCATGTATCTGCCCCTTTGCCATGATAAGTTATACCTAATATTCAGGAAGAGTAAATGGTTGAGAATTGAGCTACATTAACGTAAATACAACCTTAATAATCAACAAAACGAAACTATAATCTAGACCTAAACAGCATTCTGGTGCAGTAAAAACAGGAGTTCCTGGAGAACGCCGAAGCTCGTCATTTTCATCCTGAAAATGGAAATGAATATTACCCTCGAGGGACTCTAAAATGTTACAGTAACAATGAAATTAACGCAGCTGTGGAGAGATGAAGGAAATTCTTGAATTACCTCAAAAACCTGGCTAACGCTGAAGTCCCCTATCTTCACTGTACCGTCGTGAGTTATCAACAAATTATCAGGTTTAATATCACCATGCACTATATTCTGCTTTCAAATTTTGAAAAATAAATAAATGAATAACCCAATCAAGAGGTAAACCATGTAAACTTATATGATATCAAGTAGATGGCCCCTATTTTCTACCAAGACGCAGCAAGATTTCAGCCAAGCCTGAAACAAATAACATAGGATAATGCAAACTTCCCTATATCACAACATTCACAAAATATAGTGTTGACTGTTGAGTATGACAAACGAACCCAATAAATCAACAGTCCCAATCAACACACCATGTGCCAAGCATCGGTAACTTGAATTACAACTACAAAGTAAAAATAAATGCCATATGTTCTAAATTATATAACCAAATAATAGATATAACTCTTATATGCAATATAACCTCCATATTCAACCTGTTCCGTCTATTTTTTTTTAACAAAAAACAAACATTTAACCTGTAAAGTAAATGAAGAAATAAGCTATGGTGAAAAAAAACTGGAATAAGTATTAAGGTTAGATTCAAGATCGTACATGAGCATGGAGATACATCAGCCCCGAGACAATATCACGCAAGTACTTCCGAGCAATATCTTCATCTAGACCACGTGGTGGATCACAACCCTCACAAGCCCATTTGCCTTCCACATATTCAAGAACTAAAGCAAAGAATAACTGCTCAAGTTAAGGTTATATCCAAGCAAATAGTACAATCAAAGATTCAAGAAAATCCATTAAAATAAATAAGGATGCCATGGATACCCATATAAAAGCGATCATTTTCTGGATCATCTATCACTTCTAATAGATTGACTATGTTCGGATGTTCCAACATTTTCATGATCAAAACCTGTTAAAATAAAATAAAAAATTAAATATTTTATCCTCAACTCAGCAATGTTAATCCTAAAAGTTGTAGAAGATATATACATATAACAAAGCTCAACGAAAGAGTTACAGGGCGAAAAATGTGCGTGAATGAGAAAAGTAACTAAAACATACAATGCATGCAAATAAGATTTTTTGGGACAAAACACATGAAAATAAGAGTTAAACATTCAAATCCAATAAAATGTCATGAAGCAGCATGCCACTTAGCAAAAGCTATTCATTAAGTAGAAAAAAGACCGTCGTTTAATACGATTAACAATCAAACAACGAAAAAACCCTAATGTCTAGTCTAAGGCAACTAATTGAAATTTTCCCACTACCTACAATGATAAAAGTGAGTAGTTACCTCACGAAGAACATCAGTCATAGCAGTCTCTGAAGGAGCAACTCGCAGCTTTGACAAATGAGACTTGTGAAAAGCCTACATGTACATATGAAGCAATTTTATTAACATAAACCTCTTGATGTCTCAACCTTCTAGCAAACACCACAGTAACAGAGGGAAAAAACAGGGCATAAAATAATCCCCCATCTCCAAATTTTTTCAAATATATGAAATAGAACAAAAATAAATTGCAGAAAGAACACCTTAATTGCGTAGTGTTTTCCATCAATATTACTTCGATATAAAACCTGTTGACATAAAAAGAGGAAAAGACTAATTAATAGTCTCAATTGTGAAAATATGAAAATATGACAACATGATGACATCAGAAAATGCATACCACTTTCCCATAACTACCAGAACCAATCTTACACTCACGAACATATTCATTGACCGTCTTATTTCCATTCTCATCCTGAACATCGAATCAACAAAATAACATTAGCATGCACGGGAAGTACCAGGAGTAGTAAGCCACAAACAAAGGGTCATCCAGAAGCATCATATAACCAATTTTGACTACTGGCTGAGTTGAAATAAGATAGGTTCATAGCTCCGCAAAATCTGGGGGGAGGGAGAGACGTTCCATAGTTTCCAATATTTTAATTCAAGAAGCTACGCCGAGAAACTCAAAAGAAGATATGCTTTATGTGATCTGTCAATAAATTGCAAAGAATCCAAGTACTTTTCTAGCCGATGATAATCAAAACCAAGAATCAAAGTTGGGCTTCACTTCAAAATTTAACGTCCAAATATCCATTTCGGTGTTTCCAAACTAAAAGAGCTGCTTACAGGACCTTCTATAGTATTGACAAAAGGGATGTAGAATTACAATTTACAAGAAGCACAGGGTCATGGACACAGAACTGTAAAGTAAGTTTCCCTTCGTCTTTGAGCAATAGAAGAAATTCACAGCTACAGTTCAGTTTATGCTTTACCTCATTTGTCAAACATAGCCAAACTACAACAAGGCATTGTTCCAGAGCAAAGTCCAAATGACAAAAAAACGTCAAGATATGAAAAATATATCTGTTGCTGTGTAAAATAAAACTGTCCAGAAAGGGAAATTTTTCCTTAAACGTATTGTGCAATAATTCTTAGAATATCGATTGAACACATTCAAATTAAACAGCTTTAGAAGTTGTACAAAGTTTAACTTAAATTTCACATAATCGAAGGAGATATTAATTACTACATTCACCTCTGAGCGAAAAACTTTATTTGTCTCCTTGACAGGGAATTGCCGGCAAATCAATCCATTTTGTGTTCTATGCTGCAAAATCTCTTCCGAATTCTTTACACGGCTGTGTGTGTCAGTTTCTTCTTCATGTGTAGTGCTAGTCATATCATCATGAGACGAGCAGCTTTCTTCATCGTCCACGTCTTCACCCAACAAAAAATCCTCAGAAAGGCGGCTGAAGCCAGGAGCAGGTCTCAGCGCTCTTTTATGCTTTTTTGTAAACCCGAAGCAACCACAGCAGCCAATCATTTTGGCAATCGAGAAACTTTTTTTGTTCATGAGATTTTGAGAATTGAAGTAGTTGTTTAAATTATCCGCAACCAAACAAACCTATCCTGAAGGAAGAAAGAATTCATTGGAATCATGCCTTCAAATTCAATAAATTACAATACATAAACGATGACAATTGCCAACAAGAATGACCTCAGATATAGTCAACAAATAGGAAGGGGTGTGTGTCATGCGCCAAAACAAAATTAATTGAACGCTGTTCATAATTCACGGAGGACAAATTATTCCAGCTTTCAGATATGAACTGCACCTGATTTACAAAGGGATGAAGGGCCTGCAAGCCCGAGTCCGGTATGCTATTCCAACGGATGCCATTCGGCCCGATGAAAGAAGCAGCTGGTAGTAACGAAGGCGTTGCAATTCAGACCTAACATCGCTTATATGGGCAACCAGTGTAGGCTCGATTCCCAAACCCTTACACGTTGACCTTTTACATAATTAGAAAACATAGTGGTAAAAAAATAACAATAAAGAAACAGATATCGCGTCAAGCTTGCACAGAAACTGCAAACGTCATCAAGCACGTTGCGACAAATACAAAGCCATATCAGTACAATTGTACAAGATTGAAACTTTTCAAAACCCCTACTCTTATTCAGACGAGTCGACAATAGAAAACTGTCCAGTAGAAAACCCTAGGCACCCCCTATATAATCCAGTGATTCCAGAGCCACATATGAACGCAAATAACGAAATTAGACATTGGGGGGGAGGAGAAGTAAAAGATACCAGGAGAGGAATAAATTCGATCGAAACCCTTGATTGAAATAACGAGAGGATCGAGGAGTTGGGGGTTGATTGCCGACGGAATTAAAACCCTAGGAGGGACGTTATTGGGGGTTCATGGGGTGGGGAAAAGGGGGAGGCGACGATCTGCGGGAATCGGAGCGTTGAAAAGATGGAATCTGTGAATGAATGAACAAGAAGACGGGGGAATGCTTGTTTGTTTAAGGGATTTTTTAAGAAAATGGAGAATGGGAATAGGTTAAAATAGGAACAGGGCTGGAAGAGAAGACGCGTCCGAAGAAGAAGACGAGAGAGAGGTACAGAGCGATAGGACAGATGATTTCCCTTTCTCCCTCTTTTTCCCCCTTCTCCGATGAACATCCAAAAACCCAAGCATTTAACTATTTTCGTACCGAGTCCCATTCATCGATTTTTCTTTTTCTTTTTTTTTGTGTGTTTTTATTTCATTTTAATTGTGAATTTTAGAGAATAAAATATATCATTTTTACCCGTGTCAATCAATTTTCTCCACAATTTTTCAAATTAAATCCCGTAACGAGTCATTTAATTTTCACCTGAGCTTAGCCATTTAGGCATCTTGTTCTTTTATACTCTACGTGATATTTCGTTTTTTTAGGAATTTCAAAATCACAAATGATTTCAATTGATGAATTTCAAAATCACAAATGGTTTCATATATATACTCATGATTTTGAATTATTTGAAATTATATCGAAAAATTTGAAATCATATCGAAAATTTTCAAATCTTGTTTTTATAAATAAAAAAAAAATCTAGATTAAAAGGTTCGGTGCCTAACTCCATATCATTCCAATACAACTTTAATCTTATCATATTTTAATTTCTAATTAATAAATTTAGATTAAAATTTTAAATCAATAAATATTTTATTTTATTTTTCTTTCCGAGATAAATAAATTTATTTTAATTAATTTTAAATTATTCACGTTTCAAACAATATAAATAATTTAGAATTATTTCTGAAATATCAACTTACTTAATTTCAAATTATTTCTTGAATTTTCTTTAAACCAAACAGAGGTTTAGAAGTTGAAGGTTGAATCTTTCATTCTTATATTTATTATATAAAAAAAGTTATTCAGTTTATTCAATTTTGACCGAGTACATTTATCAACTTGTTTTAATTAATAAAAACAATGAAAATATATCACAACACAGCTCGCTCGCATTAAAGTAGGTGCGTGTTATATTTTATTAAACCTACGTGGTTTTTTTTATATTTAATTATTCAAGCGAAATTCTATCCCATCCAAATTGAAGGTAAATATTATAATATTAATTCAAGTTAAAATATAAGGTTCAAATTGACAAAATTAAAGTCAAACCGAGTATAGCTCAAGTGGTTAAGGCATCTATCTCTGACCAAGACGTCATTCATAATTATACTCGAGTTGGTATAATATATGTATAATTATATATTAAATATTTGAATACCTGACTTATTAAAAAAATTATTAATACTTCAATCATAATTATACTCAAGTTCGTATAATATATGTTAAAGTCATATGAAATACAATTTCATCAGGTTGATTATTTAATTATTTTTGTTTAGTATAATAAATTATGGATATGAGAGTTTGAACATCCAATATAAAGAAAATAAACAGACTTCAATTAACGCGCGTTCATGTTGTTATTTAATTACCTTCTCAAAATTTAGGTAGTACTTTTTGTTTATTATGTATAGCCGACTCAAATAATAAAATATTAACATAATATGCTAACTAATATATTTAATTGTTCATCATGCCACTTCCACTTGCTTAAAGCCTACCTGAAATTGTCAATCCCAACATAACTCAATGATAAGACACCTTACTTTTTTTATTTTAGATTAAATGTTCAATCACTACCCATAAACTTAACTAAATAAAATATTTAAAATCTTCGATCCCACGATAAAATAAAGAATAAGTATGGGACCAAATGATATTTAAATAAATAAAAAAAAAAGAGTTGTTGGTGGTGTTTGTTCTAGACATTCTTTCAGTTTCAATGATTCGAAAATGGAAAGCAAAACAAAAACAAAGGGAGAACAAGTGGCAATCTCACAATCCATGAAAGAAAATTAGCACCCACGGATGGAAAGATAGATAAAGTTATCGTACGCTGCTACATGTGTTAATATATTGAATTGTCGTTGAATAAATGCCTCTCCATAATCAAAAACACACTATAATGCAAATTGTCGTTTGGGTGGGCATGTGGAATACACATCCCAAGCTCAATTTTGTAGCAAATATGTTGTTGTTTTCAAATCCAATTAGTGTACTCTCATACGTGTCAATCTATTATTCGTTAGTGTTAGATAAACATGTGCCAACACAACATTAGTATAGTATAACGTGTGAAGTCAATGTGCACACGATTATATTAATGTGAATATGAAAGATTAATTTTACCGTAAGTCGCCACTCGTCAGCTTAAGTTTCTGAATTGATTGGTAATTTATCAGGTTATTAAGAGTATAATTCAAATAGTTGAGAATCGAGACATATTTTTACAATGACAAATCTTGTATGCGTTTGGAATAAAAGTTGTTTAGTTTTTGTGATATTGAAGGAATGTGGAAGCCCATAAAAATTATAGAATAAAAATGGAAGAGATACATATTTACAGTTCCTCACAAGAATAACTACTGTATACAAAATTATGATGTGATATTCTAAAGAAAACTAAAAAGATAAAGTAGTGGTATATAGTTACAAATTTATAAAATTCAATGATTTAATTAGTAGAAGGACCAGAAGGTTAAAATATTAGACTAACAAAATGATTAGAGTTAAAAGCGATTAAATTTGCAATTTGACATTTTAAACAAAATTAAATTGTGTTATTACAATTATAAGTTTTTGAGTATTGTCTAGTAGTTAAAATATCTCAATATGTACAAGAATATGGTAGATTAAAAATTCAAATATTGTATTTATGATGTTAGATTAAAAAAAAAATGTAAACACGGTTATCAAGTTAACAAATAAACAATAACATCAAACAATTTATTATAAAAAGAAAAAGAAAAGAAATACACTAAACCATCGTCAAAATAAACACTGCTCAATGGTTAAATATATACACACTCTCTCCAAGAGTATTTATAATTTGATATTAAAAAATAAAGAAGGTAGGATGCAATTGAAATATTGTTAAATCATGATTAAATTTATAAATAAGTACATCTAAATGATTAAATTAACTGATGACTCGAGTATAGTTCAATTGATTAAAATATTTAATAGAAATTCTTTTGAATTAAGGGTTCGATATCCATCTTAATTGTCCTATTGACGAAGTTAAAAAAGAAAAAGAAAATTAACAAAATAATTAAAGCTAAAACTAAGAGGATTAAATTTGCAATTTTACCGTCCTTTTAAAAAGGAAAACAGCACCATTTGGAAAAAGGCCGATTCTCAGCCGCCTCTGCCGCAGAGTGGGGTTTCCGTTTTCCAATAAGCGCCACTCGAAACGAGAGGTACGAAGTGTTCAATCAACTCACGCTTCTGATTCTCTCCATCGCTCACTCCCACTACCCGCGTTTCCGTCAATCGTCACCGGAGTTGGCCGCTTCTAGGGCCACTGAACGTTCCAATCGACGAACATGGCGATCGTCGGCGTTCTAGCTTTGCAGGGATCTTTTAACGAGCACATCTCAGGTATCTCCTTCTTATCCATCGCTACTTCCCTTTGTAGTTGCCATTTTTGTCGATGAATACACGCTTGTTTTAATGCGACAAGTTTCCGCCCTTAATTTACTGTGACGCACAGCTTTGAGAAGGCTTGGAGTGAAGGGCGTAGAGATAAGGAAGCCCGAGCAGCTTCTTAATGTAGCTTCTTTGATCATCCCCGGCGGGGAAAGCACCACCATGGCCAAACTTGCTGAGCTCCATAATCTGGTTTGCTCTCTTTCCTTTAATGTTGCATCTCTGAACATCTTCCAAGTTTTTCTTTAGTTTGTCCTAAATTTGATTCAAACACGGTACAAGCTTTCGCAATCTTCGAAAGGCATGCATGCCTGCATGTCTATAATTTGTAATAACAAAAAAAGCGAGCACAGAAAGAAGGAAAAAAGTTGAAGGATCCTGCTGTCAATCGCGTAATAAGCAGCAGTGCCATCTTCAAAACCTTGTTGGTGTCTAAACTGCTCGATTTTATTCAACCCGCTCAAAGCTGTTTTCTCGGATTAGACATATCAGACATCCCAAATTTACGAGAAAATCGTCTGTGTTCGTTTGGATGGGCTCGTATCAGATGGGACTTAGAATTAGAATCGATTGTAATATTTATCTTGTCGTATTTTTGTATATCTTCAGTTTCCTGCTTTGCGAGAGTTTGTAAGAATGGGGAAGCCTGTCTGGGGCACATGTGCAGGGCTTATCTTTTTAGCAAACAAAGCTACTGGTTAGATTTCCTTCCATTTTTCCTCGAACATCTCACATTCGGATGGTTTCTTTCACTAACTCCACCTCTGCTTGAAATGTGTTACAAATTTGATATGGATACATGTACTTCCAGGACAGAAAACCGGCGGACAGGAATTAGTAGGAGGTCTTGATTGTACTGTCCACAGAAACTTCTTTGGAAGTCAGGTAACTCTCTCTTGCTTCTCATGTTGGATTATGTTTATCAAGATGCATAAGCAATAGCTGGAAAACAAAAGAATCTTGGAAATTGGTACGGAACATGTATAGGAATAAAATTTGCATAAAGCTATCTTTGCCACTGTGGCTTTGTAGCACCTATGATTTACATGGAGTTTCTCGAATCATATCATGTTGGAAAAATATAACCATAAAGGATCTGAAGAGTGGAGATACTCGTTCATGTCCATAATAGGATCTCTTGGAATCTTTGAACTATGCTATTTGACGTATTTAAAATCTATATGTTCACTGGCTCAAATAATGACTTTGCTCCAATGAAAGTCCCATACTTGATGATTTAAATCCTCCTTATCACAAGCACGATGAGCTCTACTTGCATGAAGTTTTAATTGAAGCATGGAGTTAAGAATACAAAAACCTCAATGGTTTTTGATTTTTTGTTGTACATTAAGTTGATCTAGACCCTCACAGTTGTCCAAAGAAGTTCTTCTTAGATGTTGTTTCCCAATGTGATATTGGAGTTCCCTTTATTCATTGTCCATTTGTCGAGTTCAGATTTTCCTAATTTAAGGAGATCATGATTATTTAGCTTCAAAGCTTTGAGGCAGAGCTCTCGATGCCAGAGCTTGTGGCTACAGAAGGTGGTCCAGAAACATTTCGTGGAGTTTTCATCCGAGCTCCTGCAATTCTTGACGTGGGACCAGAAGTCCAAGTTCTGGCTCACTGCCCTGTCTCCTCAAACTCTAACGTGAATTCAAATTCCACTGGCGAAGACAAAGAGGTTTGTTCTATGTTATTTTTGAGCACCAGAATATCTCATAACATCTACACACCGCCCTATTAATTTGAACATCTAAATCACTGTAATCTGTATGTATAAACCAGGAAGTTTCAGGCTATAAGCAGTCAGGTTGTGAGACGTAGTTCAATAGTAGAACTGTTGAGAACTCACTCTGTACTGGAATTCTCATTTGCCTTCATTTTTCTTCCTCCCTTTCACACTGTGGTTTGTTTATCTTAGGAAAAAGGATCAGAAAGTAAAGTGATTGTAGCGGTGAGGCAAGGGAACTTGCTGGCAACTGCCTTCCATCCTGAATTAACATCAGATAGTAGATGGTATAACTTAGTCTCAACTTGAAATCCTACCTTGTACCTAACATGTCGTAATGATCATCTCGAGTGAGTTTCGATAATGGATTTTGCAGGCACAGTTACTTCTTGAAGATGGCTGGTGAAGTTGATGGATCCTCAAGTAGTATAGCAATCGAAGGAGTCGACAATGCAAGACTCGAAAGATCAAAGAGTGACCTTCCTATATTTCTTTAGTTTAAACAAAGTGAAACCCCACCCCACCAGAACTCATATTTACATTCTTAAGTTTCATTCTAGGTTCATTGGATTTATTCTGCAGCCTGCACCAGGTTTTATCTTCCTTATGCTAAGTTACACAATATTCTTCTGTTGTATTCCTTTCAAATTGCTGGTACTCTGTGTAGGAGGTTCTGTACATGGAGTTTAATTTTAAAAAAAGGCATTTCCTTTTGCACTGGATTAATCATTCGTTAATGTGCTGTTATAGGAAGTTTCAAATAGCAGCGAGTAAACTTCAGAAATAGGAAAAAGAAAAGAAATTAGTCTTTCCTAAATATGTTTTGTTTTTTATCGTTTTAAGTTTTAATAAAAGAAGGGGTTTAAATTACAACTTTATGGACTATCAAATTATTTTAGAGAAGAAAGAATATTTTTCTTACTCAAACAAATTAAATCTGTTTCCTAACTATTTTGTTATTAGGATTTATTTTACAATTGCTCTTTAAACCCATCAATATTTGAAAAGTGGTCTTTCCTTGTACAACAAGTTATTGTCAAAATAACACAAATTTCACGGGTTTAAATTAATAGTGACTATTTCAATAGGCTGAAGTACTAACTTACTTCCCTTGAGGTCGAATCTCCTCTTACTTTTTTTTTTTAATTTAAATTTTTGACGGATCCCATACTTTTATTGAACTTAAAAAATAAAAATAATAACGAAATTTATTGTCACAATTTTGGAAATAGCCCTACTTGATATATTGACATGGTTTTTTAGTTTTATTTTTTTGGAGATGATATATGGGCCTTTATTTTTTTGAGATAGTGTACGGGCCATCTGAATGGGCCCAACGAAGGCCCAAAAAAAGCAAACACACAGTAAAATCCGTGGTGAAAAAGGACCGAGACTTCCCCTAATTTCAGAAACACCGAACTTTAACAATGGCTTCGTCCAAAAAATCTAGTACTGAAGCGAAGAGCAAAGAAGCGGGAACATCGAAATCAGCCACCAAAACCAAAGCCAAAGCCAAAACCAAAACCCTCAGCAACGCCACAAAATCCGACAAGGACGTTTCCAAGAAGAACAACAACAAGAAGAAGATTAGCAACAAGAAGCACGCCAACAATGGCTCCGCCGAGGAGAACGACGTCTTTGAGATCTCTGCTCCAGATTCAGCATCTAGAGAGGACGACGCCGATGAAGACAGAACCGAAACCACGAGTAGAAAAGCTAACAGCTCGAAATCGAAGAAAGTAAAGCGGAACCATGGGAAGAAGGAAGAGAATGGTTACGAAGAAGAAGAAGAAGAAGAAGAACAAGTCGAGGAGAAGATTTACAAATTCCCAATGCATCGGATCAAAAAAATCACGAGGGACGAAAATTCTGATTTACGTATAAATCAGGAAGCCTTGTTTCTCGTCAACAAAGCCACGGTAAGCGCCCCCCAACCAGTGAATTGTGCTCCCAGAACTGCTCGATTAGAGTTCGATTAAAGAATTAGGTATTTTCTGTTGGTGGGTGGTGGGTTGGGGAGAAATTGTTCTATAATCTTACGTTTATTGTTTCTAAAATTGATTCTGTTGCGTCTGCAAAAACTTCTTAATTGTTGCAGGAGATGTTTCTCGTACAATTTTGCAAAGATGCTTATGCTTGCTGTGCTCAGGATCGGAAAAAGTCTCTTGCTTACAAGCATCTATGTAAAGTTTCTACTCCCTGTTCTAAATAATGTGACACCTGCAAATTATATCATAGTATATTTCAATTGCAATTTACAATTATTAAAATAAAAAAAAGTAAAAATTGGACCTGAAAATAGTTGAGAGGGTTCCAACTCCACTAGCATATACACATCATGACAGAGCTTTAACTTTTAATGGGCTGCAATGTTTTAATTTATGCTCCTCATGATACAAGGGCTCACATTTAATAGCGTCTGATTTCTTTCTGTATTCATGCTGCAAAATGAATAACAGCATGATGGGAAGATATCAGGGTCCTGTCACATTTTAACATGGACTGTGAACTTAGATATAGGTTACTCTAACTTCTTGGTAAAGGGATTTGTATTATCAGCCTCATCTATAATTTTATGTTGTGTTGTGGAATTACTGATTTGTATTATCAGTGCGTTGGTTTATGCTTTCAAAGAGACGATTTCTATGGTGGCATGGAAGTTTTTGTTAAATCATATCACAAAGCCACATTTTATCTGGCTGGAATTGGATGATTTACTGACCCAAATTATGTGTAGAGAGACTCCCAATAAGTTCACGTATATGTGGAGGAATAAGAAATGGCTAGTAGTTCAATCCGATACTTGGGAAGGGAATAAGTGAGTTGGGGAGGGCTGAATATCGGCCTTCCTTATCTTGGGTAATTCTTAAGTTGGGTGGTCAACGAGACAGACAAGGGACCGAATTGGAGGAGAGTATATTTGGGAATTGATAATGGGGCATTGTGAATCTAGTAGAAATTTCAATTTAGATGAGGAGCGAACAAGAAGACTCCTGGATCTCTTCCCTTAGTTTTGTATAATGTATTCCATCCATTAATAGAAAGTTAATTCAAGTATCTATCATCTGTCTAGGCGATTTTATCAAAATAATGCTGAAAGTTTGATTAGACTTTCACTTTACATATTGCTTCATTTTATCTGGTATTGCTTCCAATTTTACATGAGGGAATTCTGATGACCCTTCTTTTATTTATTGACAACATTTTGATGGTGAACTATATGGCGGTTAAAAGGAAGGAAATAAAGAAAATTTATCTTTTCCGGAGTTACCTATGGGAACATCATTGAATTTCTATGCATATGTTGTACCTCCAGCAATCGAAATAAGATGTGTTCAATTCAAATGTATTTCTGGAACCTTATCATAGACCATCCTTTATCCTGCTTGAAATTTAACTTTAGAATCTGCTCTCTTTGGATAATAGCCACCTAATTCAGTTCAGAAAACATGTTTCTGATTGATTAACGAAGCATTATTTTAGATGTAAGACTTTCACTGAAGTAGTAGTAAGATTATCCTTTGTTGTTGCAGCATCGGTAGTTTGTAAAAGGAAGAGGTATGACTTTCTTTCAGGTACTTATACACGGCTCTTATATATGCTCAACTACTTCTATTATTTCAGATGATGAGAAATCTAACTCGATAGACAACTTATAAAACGTCACGATACTTTTTTTTTCCCTTTTCAGATTTTGTCCCAGAAAAATTAAAATTTGAAGATGCGTTAAAGGAGAGAAGCATGGCGGAATCAGGGAAAGGCTAGGCTTCTTCATATTTTAATCTAACACTTCATTTTGTTATCTTGATGTGTGATATTTAGGCTTATTTTTTATCATGTCAATGATCATACATGGGAGGTAGAACATACCGTCTTTATTCCCCTCCTAACAGTTCTGTAATCTGTTAACGACATCTTGATTCTATTCTAACAGGAATTCTAACAAAAGTTGTTTAAAAAGAAGGGTTATTTAGACTCAAGATCAGAGGTGAGAAATAAATCTGGTACCTGGAGTCCATCATGGGGAGGTATGTTGAGTATGAAAATGCTCTACAAGAATTTTAACATTCTCCCCATTTTCAAGCGGGTACAAACATGATTCAAAATGTCGAGAGACATGTCGACATCGACATAGGAAGAAAGTCGATTTTTTTCATGCCGTAGACATGTCGACATTTTCACAAGTAAGTTACTCATATTTTTACATATGATGGTTAAAAGTGATCGATTATAGCGATACAATTAAATTTTTTTTTACTAAATAAAATACTTTTTCATTAATTTCCACAATTTCAATGATTTTTTTCCATTAAAGTATATAATATTCTTACCATATTATCACAATTACACCATCACTTATGACGATGAAGCATTACAAAAGCAGAAACCAAAGTCGAGAAGATAATATTGATATTTGAATTCTTCCAATTACATAAATGCTGAGTGAAAATGCGAGATAGTAAATCCAATAATGAAATAAAGAAATTCTACCCATAGCTAAGAACATCATTGAAAAATGTTATTCGATGAATGCTCCTCCATGATACCTCTAAGTTTAGGATCATCCCACAATTAAACACGTGAGACAAGAAGCTCTTAAATCATCTCAGCTTAATATACTGTAGAAACATGACAAGTATTAGATAAATATGTTAGAAGAGAACGGCAATCTTTTGGAAAGATGGGAGAGAGAACTTACTTGTACAAGTAAGAAGCAATTCCAAGAATTACGCATAGAAGAATAATATCAATGCAAAAGTTTTGGCTCGATCTCACCTTCGAATACGAAAATACAATAAAAAGGGCTGTTCGTTTGGACAATACTTGCTTTAATGAATGAAACGACAAGTTTGGATAAGACATTAGTTACCTCATAGAGTGTTTCCTTGAGCCTAACATTAGTATTTTTAATCTCATTAGTCACCTTGTCTACCTGCAGAAATGTCAAGAACAGAACCAGCTAAGAGACTTATCATTTGCTCAACCTCGACCAAACAAGCCTGTAAATTCTACCTTTGCATCTATCTCGTCGATTAATGGAACTTGCCTATCCAATTCCTGGACAAGGATAAAACCAATTAGATGGCCCAAACAGAGCACTATTAAACCACTCAATTTGTCCGTGTTTTTCTTTCACTACTGACCTCATTCATTTCATGGGCCAGATCTTTTAGCATATCCAATCCTTCAGATATGATATCGAGACCTTGATCCTGTAAAGATGAAGGAAACACAGTCTCACTATTATACAAAACTGATCAACCGATCTTTGTTTTGTAGGAACGACAAAAACAACCATCTCGCTATTTCCTTTGGTGCTAATTTTTTTCTTTCAATGATGAGGCGGGTCCATTAATGCGAGAATACATCAAAAGAATAAATTTGCTCCAACTCATCCGATTTGATCAAGCCTCTACAATGTTATTTCTTTCTTATTCGTCTAGTGCAATTTAATAACAAATTTCCATGGCAGAAAATTGGTAAAGAAACTCACATGCCTGTTTCATCTTCCGCATTTCATAGTCCTGCCGAAACTGACTCGATTCTTCACTTTGCTGGAAATACTCGCTCTCAAAGTTTCCATCTAAGATTTGGTCATAAAACAATGAAGCCTCATATAGTTTCCCATTTAAGAAAGTAAAACAAAAAATGAACAAACATAACATATCTCTAGCTTGATTAAGAAACCTGATGATGAATCAAACTTGATGTTTTTAGATGATGAGGAGGATGCCCATCCTCCAGATTGTTTGCCTGCTGAGGTAGCCCCATCCGGTATCGCCTTAATCCTCTCTTCAAGCGCAAGAACAAGGTCGCCTCTCACCGCAAGCTCTTCTTTCGGAA